GTGATACGGGATGTTTTAAAGCATAAAATACTCAATGATATGCATAAAAATATGCGTAAAACATGCAACAACATATTGTGGTTGCGCTGCTGACCCTAATGGCAATACGTCACACATTTTGAGCTCAAAAGTGTTCATGGAGCTTCGTATGATTACACTTGAACCACTGAAACTAAATGGAATGTTTTGACAATGTTTTTGGTTCTTTTTCTAGACTTTAAAGAGAGTTCTCGGATTTCATCGAAAATACCTTAATTTGTTTTTTGAAAATGAACGAAAGTCTCAGGGCACAACAACATTTTTTTTTGTTTAATCATAATCTTGTCTACCATACAAAACAGTGCAACAATTGTTGATCAGAGTCTGATTCACCATATCCACATCTTAATGCTATGTAATCCATCCTACAAAACTAAAGCTTCTCAGCTGGCCGAAAGCAAAGCCCTTCTCATGAGTTAGTGTCCACCTCAGTAATACATCTGTCCAGACAGAGACAGAGCGAGAGAGGGCCGGTGATTAATTCAACTGTAGCTGTCACAGTGATGTTCAGTAAGATACCACAGGTCACGACTGGGTCCATATCATAACCTCTCACTCCCTTTTCTCCGGTGTCCTCCTCCTATTTCAGTGATCCACCTTTCCTCATTGGCCTCCTCTCTATGTCCTTGGTGAGCACTGAGGCGTCATGCTGTGTGTTTGACCTCAACAGAACTATATTCTAACTGTAATAAATCAAACCTCAATCTTACCTCCTACATGCACCGCCCAACATTCATTACTCTGCTTTAATAATTACATTACAGAATCAAAGAGTAGAAGATGATAAACCGCCATTAAGAGGGAGGAGGTGAAGGAAAGTCAGCTGTTTTAACAAGACAGCTGACCGTTGTACATTACGAACATAAGTCTATGTTAACCATTAACCATGAGTATGACTACATTAACTATTAACTGTACATTACAAGCTTCGCTCTACATTTATAAAAACCACACTGTGAGAATGTAGACACTCATTACCTTATTTTAAACATTAATTTACACTGCTGTGCAGTGAGGGCTGAAGACTTTTTATAATAAGAATTCATTCTTTCTTGGTTTTTAAATCCATGTCAGCTTTTCATACTTAATAAATATTAATAATAATAATACAACTACATGAGATGTTAAAGATTCTGTAAAAAAAAAGCTGGAAGTAATTTTGGATTCACTCGGTTAAACACTTTCCGAGAGTATCAACAGAATAAAAAGATATAACAGTCTAGTAAAAAGTGTTTAATGGACAGTTAAGGTTTTGATATGAAGGCCTAAAAATAAAATAAAATAAAAAATAATAATAAAAAAAATTGCACATAAAACTTTTTTTCAACATTTATTATAATAAAGCAATATTTTGTATCTTCAAAAAATATAATAATAAAAATAATAATAATAATAAAAAATTAATAAAAAACCTTGGAAGTAAATTTAGATTTGCTTGGTCAAAAACATTTCCCAGACTATCAATAGAATAAAAAGGTATTACAGTCTAGTAAAAAAATGTTTAATGGATAGTTAAGGTTTTGATACAATGAACTAATAATAATAATAATAATAATAATAATAAAAACAATAATGAAAAAAAAAATCGCACATAAACCTTTTTTAAACATTCATAATAATAAAGCAATATTTAGTATATTCAATAAAATAAAATAAATAAATAATTTTTAAAAATCACACACAGAAACCCTTTTTTTCTAACTTTTATAATAATAAAGCAATATTTTGTATTTTTATAAAATAATAATAATAATAACAACAACAACAACAACAACAGCAACAACAATATTAATAAATATAATCCTTTGGAGATAAATTTAGATTTGCTTGGTCAAATAATTTCCAGGAGTATCAATAGAATAATAAGGTATACAAACTAGTAAAAATGTTTAATGGACAGTTAAGGATTTGATACGACGAACTATAAAAAAAAAAAAAAAAATCGCACACATAAAACATTTTTTTTCAACATTCCTAATAGTAACCAATACTTTGTATCAAAAACTACATTTTATTCAATTAAAAATTTAACTAAATAAAAACCTTTGGATTTGGATTTGTTAGGTCAAACACTTTGCCAGAGTATCAATAGAAAAAAAAAGTTCCTCACAGAGAAGTATTACAGTCTAGCAAAATATGTTTAATGAACAGTAGGTTTGGATATGATGAACTATTTTTTAAAAATCACACACATAAAACTTTTTTACTAGCATTCATTTTTAAAAAGCAATATTTCTTAAAAACCAACTCAGCGTTTTGGAATTATTTCCAAAGGTTCATGTCAAACTAAACACTGGAGTAATGACTGCGAAAAATTCAGCTTTTGCCATCACAAGAATAAATTAGATTTTAAACTATATTAAAACAGACACGATAATTTTAAATTGCAATAATATTTCACAATATTACTGCTAGTCTTGATTAAATAAATGAATACTTTGTGAGATAAGAAACTTGTTCCAAAAACATTTAAAGTGTGTAATGTAACTCTTCATAGTTAAATACATCTGTGCAACAAATACATTATAATAAATCCCTCTGAAAGAAATTTGGCTGCCATAATGGCTCCTTCACGGGAAGGAAACCAGTCAGATGGCTGCTTTCCTTTAACTTTCCGCTACCATTGATTGAATGGATATAAATACCCATATGACCTTAGATTCGCCCTTTTCAGGTCAAGCACACAATCTATCATATCTTAAGTGGGAAGATGAAAGCTACAATGCTGGAAAAAACTGACAGCAAAGCATTTTGGGACATCTTTGAGAAATGACATATTTGTATTGTTTCTTTGCTAACTGGCATTACTTAAAATAGATTGTTAACATCAGTAGTTGCTTGGAGCAATCTGTTAACCTCTCCCAGCAGTCACCGGGCACTTTATTTAAAGACTTCAAAGTGACTACCACTGGTAATATCTTTAAATGACTTTGAAACCGTATGTTAGAATTTTCAATCTGTATATGTTTGTAAAACTTTAAACTATATTGGAATTATATATAATTGGAATTATATTTAGTATCTATAATTATATATAGAATATTGGAAAAGTGTAAGAATTCAACCCAGGCTCATTCTGAAAACGTACCTCTATTTACATTTCTGGGGAGCGCAATATATGTGCCAGGAGCTACATTTTTTTCCAGTTTTTGTTTTCGTGAATCCACCAGTGGCCGATGTGTACGCTGTTTGAGATCTAACATTTCTTTTGTGAGTACCACCCACACCTGTTCTTCTAACATAAATCCACCAGAGGCGGCTATCGACTGACTGACTGATCAACTGACCCACCCTCCTCCTTCCCTAAATGCAACCAATAGTGTTTTCAAAAGCAATACAAAAAAAGATCATCAAATTTTTAATTATGTTTTCAGATTTGACCACACTCTCACCCTATTATTTACTTGTTTATTTTATTTTTTGTCTTCTGTTTTTGTCTTACTTTGTCTGGAACTGTTCTTCACCAGATTTGCACCCCGTAATAGCGGTCAACTCCTCTCTGCGTCTCAAGTTTGTTGACGTACATGGCGAGTTAACTGGACAAACTGGTAACAGCGGATAAGCCGTAAATATGGCAGTAAGCCATATCTGGTAAGCGAGAAAAGGAATGGTGTCATACTTCCCAATAGCATTCAGTTTAAAAACAAAATGCAGCCATAAGTAGCTCTGGCAACATTATTCATGATCTCCAGAAATTTATATAGCGCTATGTTTTCAGAATGAGTCTAGGTTGCAAAAATTGCTATTCAGTTAGATCACCCAAAAACAAACATTTACACACCAATTAATCAATCTCAAGTAGTTCCAAACTTTTTAAAAAAAAAAATTTCTGTTGAACACTAAAGAAGATATTTTGAAAAATGTTAGAAACCTGTAACCATTGACTTGCATAGTAGGAAAAACAAACACTGTGGGCGTCAATGCTTTTTTTTACAACAGAAATAAAAGAAAAACTGGTGACATTTACATTTTTGGGATGAATCTTTTGAATTTTCATTTGGGATTGATCTTTTTAAGCAGATGATATGAGAAATGTACGACAAAAAAAAGTTTGTAAACTTCACAAAATTACAAATGTTATTATTAATCAGAGGTTAGCACTGTCGCCTCACAGCAAGAAGGTTGCTGGTTCAAGCCCCAGCTGGGTCAGCTGGCATTTCTGTGTGGAGTTTTCATGTTCTCCTTGTGTTCACGTGGGTTTCCTCTGGGTGCTCCGGTTTCCCTCACAGTCTAAAGACATGCAGTATAGGTGAACTGAATAAACTAAATTGGTCGTAGTGTATGTGTGTGAATTTGAGAGTGTATGGGTGTTTCCCAGTACTGGGTTGTGGCTGGAAGGGCATTCACTGCGTAAAACATATGCTGGATATGTTGGCGGTTCATTCTGTTGTGGCGACCCCTGATAATCAAAGGGACTAAGCTGAAAAGAAAATGAATCAATGAAATAATGAAGTAGCAACAAAGCAATATCGTACTGTACATTCTCGAGAAATAAAGGTTCTCTATTAGCATCAATGGCTCCACTAAGACATTTTATCATCCATTAAACCTTTTTATTCCACAAAAGGTCCTTTAGATTATGAAGTTTATAAAAAGATAATAGACCAAAAAGGATTTTTATGGCATCGCTTCTGAAAACCCCATTTAGGTTCTACATGGCATCTTTATTTTTAAGTGTGTACTTTGAGGGGAAACCATTTGACAGACTAAAAAGCTTAATCTGCAGACAGAAAGGTAAGAAAAAGAGATACGGATGGCTAAAAAAAAGAAAAAAAAGAATGAGGGATAGAGAAGAGCAATTTCGTCCTCTTTAAAGGAGGGAGTGTGTACGGGGATGGCCAGTAGTAAATAATGTCTGACCAGGCAGACAGCAGCAGATAAAGTGCCTTTATCTGGACAGAGGAATTCTTGTGTTTGAACACACACTATACATGTTCCCACAATGTCACACACACTCCTACCTGTCACTCAGGATGATTGATGTGTACTCCGGCACTCCCAGGCCTTTGATAGGGAGGGGAAGAGGCGGGGCAGAGGGAGGGGGGGCGGTTCAATCGCTGACATCTGTCCCTGCACTTCTGGAGAACAAGAGAAAAACACACACACGTCGGAAATACACACTTTTCATCCTAAAACTCATTTTGGGAGAGTAGTTTGTGTTGAAAATGTGACCCGGTAAAGAAGCTCCCAACTCTACGATAAAATTACACCGACAAAGCAGCTCAATTTAAAAGGCAAACTACTTTTCCCCCTGTTCTCACAAAAAAACATGCGCTCTCTCACACACGCACCTAAATCCACAGCTGAGAGGCAGTTCAGCTCCATTTACTTACACACTGTGCCACTTAGACACGCTTTACTGCACCCACTAATGAACACATAGAGGCACACACACACACCACGAACAGAGTGGGGTTAATGAACGACAGGGTCCTTTGCTTGCTTGGCACCTTTAAGCTTGTGAACATAATTGGCTTGTATTGTATTTCAGTCTCGTTAGGACCGAAATCTAAGACACAATACCATTTTAGAGGACTGGAAAATCCGCGCAGGTTCTTGGGAGTTGTGTTTTACAGAAACTTCATTTCACTTCAATTCTCAGACGGTTCACGCATGTAGTCGAGTCGTCTAGACATTTCTAAATAAGGTATTGAATGTTTTAGTAGCTTTCGTAATGTTTAAACTATCAATATTATCAAAGACCTTAAAAAACATGGTTGTGCTGAAAGGGAGGTGGTTTATTTTTAACCCCACCAGATGTTTTGGTAAGCGGTGGACTTTCAAAAACACGGCTGTGTGTGCAAACGTTGAGTGAGTGATGTTAGTCCGTTCTTGTGGCTATGCTGAGATTTGTTCAGTGTCAACTTGTATCGTTATGTGTGCAGACGCACAAAAACCATTTGAGGAGTTCACGGCCGGTATGGCGGGGTCAGAAATGAATGACAGGTGCTAAAGAAACAGGACAGTCGTCAGAGCTCAAGTTACAGAAGAATCACACATGCTCGTTTGTACAGACACGCACTCAGAAATCATACACTCATTAAAACGTACATGGGCTGTTGATGTGATGTTGCATTTTCATTGTCATACATGGAAAAAATGTATTATTGTAATCATTTGAAAGGCAGTAAATGGTTAAACATTTCTTTGTCTTCCATAGGCCTCTTGTTTTAAAACCAATCAATCGAAAGCTAAAGCTGTCCTATGGTTTGAATGTCTCAAGCAAAGTTCAAAATGTTATAACTCTTATAAATCATAAGATATTATGAAATATTTTTGCAGTTTTTTTCAGTCACTAACAAGCGTTTGTCCAACCAGTTTTCAAAACTCTAAACAGAATTAGCACAGCATCAGTCTTTTGTGGCCATACCATTCACACATTTCATGTCATTTTCACCTAATATGCAGCATGTGAACACAATCCTTTCCTGTGATTTCAACAATGCTTACATTTTTGTAAGCTATACTTCCCAACAACAACAACAACAAAAAAATCTAACCTGATGTACTTTGATTGACTGCATGCACCTTGTGAAATGAAAACAAGTGTTTTTCTTTGACAGAATCATTTAATTTTGAGTCAGATTTCCAGTGTCTTGCTAAAGTTAGTGTGTGCAGAGCAAAATGTGCTCTATTTTAAAATGAACTTAGCATGCAGTTGAAGTCAGAATTACAAGCCACCCTGTTTATTTTTTTTGCAATTTCTGTTAAACAAAAAGATTTTTTCAACACATTTCTTAATGTAAGTTTTTATTTTAATTCATTTAAATTTTAACTAATCTGTAATAACTGATTTATTTGATCTTTGCCATGATGACAGTACATAATATTTTACTAGATATTTTCAAAACACTTCTATACAGCTTAAAGTCACATTTTAAGGCTTAACTAGATTAATTAGGTTAACTATGCAGGTTAGGGTAATAAGGCAAGTTATTGTATAACGATGGTTTGCTCTGTAGACTATTGAAAAAAATATATAGCCTAAAGGGGCTAATAATATTGACCTTATTGAAAAATTAAAACGCTTAGTCTAGCTAAAATAAAACAAATAAGTCTTTCACCAGAAGAAAAAATTACTATTATTATTATTATTATTGTATATATCATTTGCAAAATATTTAAAAATAAAATTAAATGAAAAAAATCTGACTTCAGCTGTATATTTAACAAAGTGTATTATTTTTTTTTAATTATCCATTTGTCCAGTTGTGTTTTGTAGGTGTGAGTCTGTGTTAAGAGTTTAGAAAAAGTATGGGTAAGCACTTGTTAGTTATTGAAAAAAGTGCTTCAGGTCTAATTTTACAAGTGGCTATTTTAGTAAAAAGCAAACATTTTCATCCACATATTTCCGAAAACCATGTGTTCTTGTGTAAATTATATGCTAATTTTAAATCGCCAATTCCACTGAAAATGTAGTTGAAGGACCTTATTCAAGATGATGTGACTGAAGAAGGCATGGGCTGATTCTGATGGTATGATAACCTTGAATAAAAATATCAAGGTTTCACAGTTTTGTGATAACTGCTCTCAAATATATTCTTTTTAAATGTCTGGATAAAAAACTAAAACTTTTTCCCCTTTATAATATATTTATTTTTAAAAACCTTTAAAGTATTTTGGAGCACTAAACATTTCAGGCTAAATAATTCCAATTAACAATTGACTTCATTTCTCTTCATTAGTTTCAAAAACACAGATTTTTTCCAATTTAAAATGGCATATTTGGAGATCTTTTCTGCTGGAGATACTGTTGTCCTAAAAAACAACAAAAAAATAAATTAATTAATTAAAAATCTTACAAATAACGTTTTAATGGTAGAAGAACATTTGGGCGGTTTTAAAACCTTGACTTTTCCAAACCGTCTTAAACCTTGAAAACGGTTATCGTCCCATGCCTAGACTGAAGACCCCCTGTGAAACCCTTAACGTGTAACTGTTACGTTTTTGTGTCAGATTAATTTATATATTTAACTTTTTACAGCCACTATAAAGTTGTTAAGTTTTGTTGTCCATTAGTGTGACATCCCAATTGACTGAAAATGTCCAAACATCTATTATAGATAGACATTTGTAAAACAAAACAATAAACGAATTGCTAAAGTTAGTGATGATTATTTTCTGAAACCTCAACTTCGACTTTAAGCCACATAAATAGAACAATTTATTTCCTAAAAAAAATAAAAATTTAACAAAAAAAAAATATTAGTCTATTTGACCTATTTGTCAACTAGCTATACACTAACTCACATGCGCACACCACATTATATTCCATTACACACTCAGTAAAATTGTCTCAAGCGTGAAACCATTGCATAGCGCACACATAAAACATCACAGTTATCTGTTATGTGAAAAGAGAGGGTGATGTAATTCGCATGGCTCCCTTTAAAACAGTCGTTCGCAATCGCAACAGATTCTTTCATGATAATATCTTATCTATCACAGACTATCGCTGCAGGCAACACCAGAAACAGAACAGAGAAAGACAATTCTGACTGATATCTGTGACCGGACATCTCGGTGCCAACGCATTGGGCTGCACACAACGAGACACAATCAAACACAGTTTCAGTATAATTACATCAGATGTCTAAGCTAATATCTGTTGATTGATATGTGGCCATCTTTAAACTGGTGCAGAATGAAATGCATTAGAAAAATATTGGAAGAAAACAAAGGAATTCAGGATAATTGTGTACTGACAGTGGGGTTCAGTTTTCTGTCCTCTGAGTGTGTGTATTCATTTGTTTATTCATGAAGAGTGCAGTCAGTGTGCTGTGGTTTGAGAAGCAATAAAACTAATAGATTTATAATGATCAGCGAAGAACATTTCATCATGCGCTCTCATTAGTCATGAAATACACGTTCATTAATCTTATTCTTCTATTTCCCCAGACAGAAAAGTAGACATCTGTGGAAACCGCTCAAGTAAACAATGAAACTTATGTTTTTTTTATACATATATACACTTTAATGTTCAAATACATTTTTAGAAGATACATTTTTAAGGGAAATACAAGGAAATAATGCTTTACTGTCAGTCAACTTGACATATACTTGATCTGACTTGAATTTAAAAGAAGTGATCATACTATATTTGACTGTATTTTACATTCAAACATCTTACTGACAAGTGGGCAAAATCTGGCTTTTGAAGGATTTTGGCAAATAATACTTTGAAATTAAATTTAGTATTAAAATGTGTATTTTGGAGGCTTCAAAATATATTAATAAAGAAATGTATATTATATTCATAATAAAAAGAAAATTTTAACTAACTAAATGAACATAAATAAGAAAGTTATAGTGAATTATAAACTCAGATAATTAAAACCAAGCAAAATAACAACAGAATACATATATATATATATATATATTTTTTTTTTTTTTTTAAATATTATAATATGTATATTATATACAGTTGAAGTCAGAATTATTAGCCCCCCTGTTTATTTTTCCCCCAATTTCTGTTTAACAGAGAGAAGGTTTCTTCAACACATTTCTAAACATAATAGTTTTAATAACTCATTTCCAATAACTGATTTATTTGATCTTTGCCATAATGACAGTAAATAATATTTTGCTAGATATTTTCTATACAGCTCAGTGACATTTAAAGGCTTAACTAGGTTAATTGGGTTAAAAAAGGATGGTTTGTTCTGTCGACTATTGAAAGAAAATATAGCTTAAAGGAGCTAATGATTTTGACCCTAAAATGAATTTTTAAAAATTGAAAAACTTCTTTTATTCTTGCTGAAATAAAACAAATAAAACATTCTCCATAAGAAAAAATATTATCAGACATACTGTAAAAATTCAAAACGGAGGGCTAATTATTCTGACTTTAACTGTACTTTATTATATTTATAACGTAATTATAATTTATTATATTTATAATGAAAAGAACATTTTAACTAAGTGAACATAAGACAAGAAAGTTATAGTAAATTATAAACTTGGATAATTAAAACCAAGCAAAACAACAACAGAATATTTTTTCTGGTGTGTGTGTGTGTGTGTGTGTATTCACAGAAAAGACATAGAATAAGAGAAAGGTTGGGGGATTAAATATGGC